TTTTCAAATTACGAAACTTTATATTATTTGTATATTTACTTTTGCTTAACATTTTTATGGGGTTGAAGTTTTTTAGGTTGATCTGCACTTTTATTCTTTTAAGTCCATCTTAAAAACACATTTTTGTATCTTTATAGAATACAATTACTACTTACTTCAAGTTTAATCATCTCTTTCCAAATTTAGTAGTCATATTTTGGGTGAGATGAAGCTTTTTTATTGCTAAAAAGACTCAACAATAAATATGAAATTTTTACGTAATATAAAATTTAAAGTTCTGATAATTGTGCGTGTTTTCCGAATTTTTAATAAACTATAGTTTGAGGAAGATAGTTTATATAAATGACAAAGATCAATATTTGAATAACAATATATTAAAAAAATTTATTTAATAAGAATTTATGCGTAAAAAATTTCAACTATCACTCATAGTATAATATATACAAATATATGAAGTACTTAATATCTTAATTTTAACTATATATAAAATTGTTGTAACAATAAATTCTCTAAAAAATTATTAAATAATTAGTCATTAGAATTTAAACATCCCCAATAAATACACATTAAACTTTAAAAAATCATCACTAAATACTAAATGAGTTTTAAAAATTTATAATAAATATCCAATTGACTTTTTAAAAATAGATATTAAAGAGTAGTTTATATCAACATATATAATATTGCAATCCAATAATAAAAAATAAGATACTAATATAGAGAGGTATTTAGAAATATATATATATATATACACACACAAACACATGAAAACAATATGAGAGTAAAGGTGAAACAATGCAAAAAAATAATAAAAACCCAAAGTAATGTAAAAAAATATCACTTTAAGAAAGAGAAATGGTAAGAGATACATGTATTAAGTTAAATTTGAATTAAAATACATAACAATAACATAAGTATACGATGATGAAACAAACCAAAAAATTGAAAGTGCTTCAAAGAATGATGGAAAATGATTACTACACTTTTCGATTTGACATATTTTTCAACATCTGCTTGGTTCAATTATCGATTCGACATATTTTTCAACATCTAAGTGGTTCAATTATTAAAATATAATACAAATATAATTGATTATATATAACTGCATCTTTAAGTTTATTTATTTTTAATTATAAATTAAAAAATAATTTTTAATAAGTATATTATATAATGTATTAAACAAAAAATGTACCAATTAATATCCTAAAAAGATATATAATAGAATACTAATTGATACACCATCCAATTAAGTATATTACAATATATTTACTAAAAAATTATTATTTTTTTATTTGAAACTAAAAGTAAACAAATTTAAATATACAATGATGCATATACGATGTCGAAACTGACTAAATTGATTGTATCTATATAATATTTTAATACTTGAACCAAGTGGTATTAAAAGGTGTATCAAATTAATGGGGATACCAATCATTTTCTTATATAGTAACAAATTATGAAATTATTTTTTAGTTTTTAGAATTAAATTGATTAAAATTTTAAGCTTAAATGCTTTTCATCCCTACAATTTAAACCTTTTTTTGTAATTAATACATTTACAACTACTAATTATGAAAAAAATACTCTAACATATATTTATAGTTAATTA